TTATTCTATCCTTATTAAGGTATTTTTTTAATTTCTAAATAAATCACATTATATATATATATATATATGCATATTCTAATGACATCAATCAATTGATAGTTTTAATAATGCAACATGCATATATTAATTTTTTTAATTAAAAATATTTTACTGATATATCATTTAAAACATGTAATAAAATTTTAAATATTTTTTGAAGCAGTTATAGCATAGAAATATTTTATTGCATGCAGATATTCATTCATAGAAGAGTAAAATCTACAAGAAATTTTCCACAAAACTAATATAATAAGAATGCACTTTGTGATCTTATATAAGTGTTTTTAAGGTTTGTATTATTTTTAATAAATCAAAGAATTGCAATATAAAATACATCATCTTTTTAATCCAAAACATCTGCTTAACATCTGTCAAAACCAAAAGATTCATGTTTTTTACAAAAAAAGTCTAGTTATATTATTTTATGCATTTAAATTCATATTTCTGATACGACTTTTGTGTTTATTGTGCATGAAAAAGCAACCACATGCATGAATGTTATATATATATATATATATATATATATGAGAATGTTAAATAGTCCCAAGCTTTTACTAAATTGACTCACTCATCATGAAAAGAAAAATAACCCCTAAATCCATTTCTCCACTCTTGAATCCAAAACCAATAAAAACCAACCACATTCATCATAATTACCATATTCTTAATCATGCTCAAGTCAATTTAGTAAAAACCTGGGTATATTTAACATTCACCATATACCCCTATATATATTGGAAAACATTTTTGGAAAATGTTTCCAAATATTACTAAGATCATACAGAATATGATTTCAAAAACATAGAAATTAGAGTTAAGTATTTGAAGAGTCTAGTTTAGTTCAATTCTGCAGATATACACACACCTACCACCACTTGTGAGTCCACCACATGCTGTCACTGCCCTTCTTCCGCTCAGGCACCACTTTCATTCGTAATTTTCTCTTGCTCCTCAACGTCCATTGGTACTCGTTGGCATTCAAAGAAGTGTAGGCTGCAGGGATTGCCTTCGTGATAACTGGGATTTGTGTGGCAAGTTATCCCTGAAGCCCACACTCCTGACAACAAGAAAGAAAACAGGCTCCTTCGCCAACAGACTTCTGTCCAGCATAATTGCAGCAGAGACGACAGTATTCTAAGCTTCATATAAAAATAATTATACACCACATGTGAGGAACCTGAACTAAAATTAATAAAAGTAAATAGTTGACATGTTCCAAGCAAGCCTCCATGAAAATTTAGACGTAAGAAGCTGCAACGAAGAGCTGTTTCTGAGCTTCATCTAGGCAAAAATCCCTAAGTGGCTTATGCAGATACAACGACCTTGTAATCAACTCACCCTATCAACTTGTAACTGTAAAACTGGATATCAACATTCTAGTAGAAGCTAGCACTCGAGACATTGTGGATCACAAAATGTGGTTAACTTTCGCTGCTAGCGTTGCCATCAAAATCCGTCTCTGACACAGGGACCCGTTTCAAGGCCCCCCGGATTGGTCTCATGCTCTCCAGCAAGTATGACAACCCTTGCAAAACATGCATACGGCTGTGCGGGACCCCAGTCTTGGCCAGCGCCGTGCCTTGCGAGTCCAATAATACAAAGCATGGTACATAGTTTATATCGTATAGGGAAGCCTGTCAACAAAGTATCCAAACAGTTTGATCAACCCTTCAAGAAGTGTTAACCCCTGTAAAAATGCAAATAGAAACAATTCAAACAGATATTGCCTGCACCCTCATCTAGAGTCTCACAATTTTGTGCATTGCGAAAACTTGAAATCCAAAAGGAATAGAAGAGAAGACAGGATTGAGTTCATGTAACCGCAGATTTGAGCTTTAGCTAGAGGCTCTAAATACAAAATGTGAACTCAGATAGAAGTGCGAATGACGAGAAAAGGGAGGTGGGAGAGCCATCCAAATACCTCTGGAAGCCACGTCTTATTCTCCACATCCGCCATTACGATGCGCAGCCAATCGCCCTCCCTCCGCTGTATGTCCTCGACCACTTGCATCAGCGACCGGCATAGCGTGCACCTGGGGGAATAAAACTCGAGTATCGTAGCTTTCTGCCGCCCTGCCAAAGCAATTGCCAATGCGCGCTCCTCGGCGTCTCCCTGCTCCTCGGGTGACAACTTAGGGGTCCTCTGCTGCCCCTTCTTTTGCACCCATAGGGGAAATTTTGCTGTTAAAGATTCGATTCTAGCTTGAAACGCATGGAGCTCGGAATTCGAAACCCTAAAACTGGTGGGCACTTTGGCGAACCTTTTCGTGGGGTGAGGGCTGAATTGGTTCTGCAACGAGGTGAACAGTTGCTGCCCCACAGATTGCAAGGGTTTGAAGGGCCATGGCAGCTGCAATCTGACGTCGCTACATGCGCCTTGACACCAGTCCAGACCAGACCAAACCGGACTTTTCTCAAATCTATCGACACGCATCTTTGAGAGAAAATTCACACCAACCCACGTTCTACCCTAAGCTGCAATTGCCTAACCTCTCAAATTCAGCAGGAATTTATACACGCGCAGCACAGCAAATGCAATTGATTAAAAAACAGTCCCCTAAGCTCAGACACCAAAGACTGCCAATTACACCGTCAGTCCAAATGCAAATGCAAACACACACACACACACACACACACTACTACTACTACTACTACTACTACTCAACCCAGACACTCAACTCCTGGGAATTGAATAGGAACGACTACGCTGACAAAGAAGTCCCGACAAATCTGCACTCACTCACTCACACCTGGTGCAAATCTTCATCCATCTCCAGAACGAAACCAAGCTCACTCATGGGATATCCAGCACTCGAGATGAGAGGCAAAATTGTGGGTCAGCTCAGTCAGTCGTGCAAGTAAGTAGTCCCTAATATGGGACGGAGGGATCATGAAGAAGGGTGTTAACAAGGCACGCAGATTCGATGCTGCTGCTGCAAATTAGGTCATCGTCCACTTCCTCCTCCTCCTCGCAGGCAACTTAGTAAGCAAGCAAGCGAGTGAGAGTGAGTGATTGAGAGAGTGAGTGAGGAAGGATTTGAATACACTTGGGATGCAAAGGAGATTTGTTGTGTGTGACACTTTTGGTTTTTATGGTTTTCATCATTTTGACAAGATTCAATTATCAGAAGCAAGTAATTTGTTTAGGTTTGTAGAATTGTTTGTGGTTGTTATGTGTAGGTATTAATTGTCAATGGGTATGTCAAAATTGTGACATTTTTCTTGGAATTTCAAGTTTTGTCCGAATTGAAGTTTCATTTTATTATTATTATTGATTAAATGAAATTATAAACGAAATTCATGAACCAAATTACAACTGTATGTGCGAGTTGGTGAAGAATTTTGTATCCCTAAACTAAAAATGTCATTATGCCTTTCGCTAGACCTTCATTTCCTCAAAAGCACTCTTTTAATTTTTTTTGAAACAGGTTAGCATGCTTAAAAGCCATGATGATTCTGAAGCATGCGATTTTTTTCTAATACAATTTCTCTGGAATATTGTCACCAACATTTCATTCCATACTGATATTAAAAAAAAATAGTTTTTTTTGTAGAAAATTTTGACTTAACAAATTCTATTAAATATCGATTGATATCTACTGGGGTATGTAAGATTGATTAGCCAATTAAGATACAATAAGCCAATTAAGATAAAATCTCGTGCCCCATTTGCAAGCTTTCAGGATAGTAAACGATGCCAAGGTCTTCGGTACATAGCCTCTTTTAGAAAGCACATACACGGCTATCACAACTGCCTTTCCCAATTTTCTTTTTAAAAGGATTCGTTCCTCCGAGAGCCTAACAGTCATTCATTTGACCATGAGAGCCAAATGAGTACCACTCTTGCTTTTCCCCTAATTATCGGTCATAATGGTTTCGGAACGAGAAACAAATAACCATGATATTAATGACATGTGACTAGAGACAATTCCTTTGGACACAAGTGCGAACTAATACTTTTACGCCCTAGTTTAGTTGCATTGTTCCATAATACTCTACAATGTGGGACTACGGGATCTCCCACAGCGGGCCGAACATCCTGAGTACCACATACTTACTGTGAATGAGTGGAATTATGAGGTCCTCGGTGGCCAGTTCTTCACTTCCACGAACCAAACAAAGTCAGACTTCACACCTCTAAACTAATTAAAATGGAAACGCTTGAAGCAAATTGGTCGGAATCGCGATGAAGAGGGCTAAATACCTTACACCTTACACAAAAAATTCCAGATCACTGACTTTCGTCACAGCAGGATCTCCAAGCGGATCCAAGTCAAGACAGGCAGATCGAATCACAAGAAGACGAAAAAACCACAAAATCGACAACACGAGGTACAACAGAGGACACTGAAAAACAAAATTAGGTCGTAGATCTCAACTTCTTGATGTCTAAACCAGGATCCCAACAAGTAAAAAGTGACATTCTTCTACAGTAGGATCCCAAAATCTGTAGCCGCAAGTTAGTGATTGCATACACAATCAGGACATGCATGTCCAGTTCTATCAAATGCACTAGATCAGAATACCAATTCGTAACCCTTAGTCGAACAAGCTGAAGCCCATGTCCTGCAGGGAACCAACAAGTTGCAATAAGTGAGTCGAGTGAAGAGAAAACCTAATTAGAGACCTAAACTAGCCATTGGCAACACGTTGAAGCTTGGCATGAAAGGCCGCAAACACCATAGTTAGCAATAACAATGAGACACCATTTCCACGTGTTAATGAAAGCAATTTTGTGTGCTTAAACACTCAAAACAACAAAGTAAACTAGGCTTCAAAGAGTCACATGCTAAACGACCTAACTTTCGAAATAGTTGAGAGAATGTTAAACTCACATCATCTGATTCTTCCTTCTCCTCCTCCTTTTTAGACTCTTCCTTCTTCTCCTCAGCAGCTGGTGCAGCGGCACCACCGCCACCACCACCAGAAGCCACGACGATACCGCCACCTCCACCCGAGGGCACGGAGGCAAACTTCTCCTTACCCGCTGCAATCACTTCCAGAATGTCCTTCCCTTCCAGCTCCTTCAGCAACAGACTTATCCTACTGGGATCCGCCTCAGCGCCGACTGCGCAAAAATAACATACGCAAGCCATTCAACACCTGAAGTCACCCAGCCAACCCACCGAGACATACACAGTTCGCCACAAGGCTAGACACAAGCCACCTCCTTTGGAAACCATTTCACCTGAACAATAAACTAGGATTTTCGTCACAAGTTATGTCGGTCTAAATTACCTGCGCCGAGGATGGACTCAATGTCCTTGGCACTGGGGGCGGAGTTGCCTCCCAGAAGGGCCAACAAATAGGCAGCCACAACCTTCATGGTGGCAGGCAGGCAACAGAACAAAATACACTACGAGTGAAAGAAAGAGCGAGCTGCGGAGGAGCAGGGGCAGAGCTCGCAAGCGAAAACATGGAGGAGCTTCCCCAGTGCACCGAAAACCCTCTTCTATGAAACCCTAATTCACGCAACGGCTCAGATGCCACGAGAGAATTTTAGATCCCATGGTTCCTAAGTGCTCTTGATATCTGTTGTTAAGGGAGGCCGGCCTCGACTCTTTCGTCTCTTCCGTCGACGAGTTTTCTTCGTTCTCGTTTCTCGTTCTCGTTTTCCGTTCTCATTTCTGGTTCGCGTTTCATCCAACATTCATCCCCTGTTGGTGTTTCTTGTTCAATAATCGTTATTTTTATTTTTTTATTTTAAATGGGAACATCGTTGCCATTTTGTGGTTTGTTTGGAGAAAAGAGCAGATTTAAATTCATAATTGGAACTAGTATGATTTGACTAAAATATTGAATCTTTTTATCTTTTTTTAGTCATCATGAATTATGTAGCTACAAGGTAAGATCTAATTCTATTTGATATCATAATTTGAATGTTTTTTTATGAGATATATAAAATTAGTTTTACATGAGATTTTCATTATACAATTTTTTCACAATATTTTTTATTCTTAATGAATTTTATATTGTTGTAATGTTCTAAAATCTAATTAACTTAGAAATTCTAAATGACTTTTAAATCTTTTTCTAAGTGTATATAATAATGTTTGCGAGTTGATAGATTTTTTCTTGATAAATTTTTAAGAAACCATCTTATAAATTACCAAATTAAATTTATCCTATTAAATTTATACAAGTTCATTAAAATATTATAATACTTCTAATATTATTATTTAGCAAATAGTCTGTTGTTGATCATCACATAATCTTAATCCAATATTATTTAGAAGTAAATTATGAGAATTATGAACTAAAACTAATATTTTTTTCAGTAGCATCTTGCTAAAATATAATATGCTATTATATTTTTATACTTATTAGAATAATTTTTTTTTAAAAAAATATTTTTTATGGATATTTCTCAAATAGATTATAAAAGAAAAAATATTTATTTTTATTTGAATTGGCATTCAAACATATATATATATATATATATATATAATTTTATTTATTTATTTTGATTTATTTTTATAGAAGATAATATGATTTATACTTTTATAAGTTACTATATAATACTTGAAAAGTATAAACGATGTTATTTTTTATTATAACTATTTTCTATATTCTTATGATTGAGTAGAATTTTTTTGCTTTCATAAAAGAGTTGTTAATGTAGATTAGAAATAATCAATTTTAATAGAAATAAATATATATACATTGAATCATGAATTCAAAATATTTTTTACAAAATCAATATTGTTAAGTTTAAAAAGATCTCTAAATAATTCAATATCATTTGTAAATTTTTGATATAAGTAGAATCTCTAATATTTATTTAATTAATTCAATAAATACTTATATATATAATTACTTAGTTATAATGATAATAATAATTTTTTAGAATAAATATAATTTTTATGTATAAGTATAATATTTAAAAGTAATGAGTTAATAGCAATATCTATTAAAATAAGTAAAAATAAGTAAAAATAGAATAAGTTTTATTATAGAGAATATCACTTTAAGTAAATTAGTATTAGTCAAAGGGTTGGCTCTTGATATATAAAATGGCTAAAAGATAAATTAGATGAAAGAACAAAAGATCTTAAAAATATAGAAAATATATTAATGATATATATCTAGATTAAATAAGATATGAATAGATAGTCTTGGTAAAATATTAAATTGATCTAATCATGAAAAGATAGAGGTTGCTTAATAGGATAGCAGCCACCACGTATAAGTAATGAATGTAGGAAGTTAGAGACATCTTATTCCATACTCTCTTTGTAAGCAACCTTATTGATGCTATGTGTTGTGACTTCAAAAGTCTATTTTTGTAATAGGATATGGGCCTACTCACTTTTAGGTTTGAGTTTTGAAGTTCTTTAAAGTTTTTTTTGTTGTGAAAAGTATATCTCACAATTGTTATTGATGTTAGAATTTGATATCTTCTAAACCTCCTTTTGCATCTAGTTATTGATGTAGTTTTATTCTTACTTGTTGTTAAGTGTATTCATTGTCTTAGAAGGTATCAACCACCTTATAATGATGTTATAGAATACTTGTAACAAAGCATAGATAAGGTGCTTATAATATTTGCATACAAAGATATGTATTTGGAGTTGTTTTGGGGAAGCTTCTAGAATTGGAGTTAGAATAGTGGTTCATGTAGGATCTACCATAGAACCTTCTAAAAAGACTTAAGGCGGTTATTATGGTAGAGCCTATCTCTAGAATCTTCTAAAAAGGTAGTTTAGTTGTCCTTAATGGTGGGCCCTAAAAAGAATGGTTATTTTAATAGGGTCTATAATTATGGACATTTTAGAAAGTTTGAAGATAATTAAATAAAGTATAAATAGGATTGATTGAGGCTATTTGGGGCATTTGGTTAAGTATGGCTTTAGACTCTTTCACTGAATAAAGTTTGATTTTCTTGTTTCATTCTATTTGGTTTTATTAGATTTTATTTGATTCTATTTTCTTTTACTCAGTCTTATCTTTCATGGTCCATTCCATTTAGTTACTTTTAGTTTTGTTCTAGTGTACTTGATCTTACATTGTATTGAGATCTTTGTTGTTATGGATTTAGTAAGATTTTATATTTTAGAATATCTGGTCCTGTTTCAATACTAATATTGTATTTTTTTGCTAAATTATATCATCGATACATTAATATTATGCTTTTATGTACTGAATTTCATAAGATATTTTTTTATAGTGATAAAAAGGTAATTATGAGATAAGAAGTGTTTTTATGAGAGTTTAGAGTGATTGAAGCATGAAATCACTAGATTACTCACAAAGAAGGCATTTTGGATTTTTAAGACAGCTATACCTTCTTATTTATTTAGAAAACTCTATTTTTTATTTTTATTTATTTTTTCTTTAATATACATCTTCATTAGACATGGCTTTGAGTGAGGGTGAGGGTTTAAAAGTGATTAAGAAGTTTAGAGGTCATAATTTTACTATTGGAAGAAAAAAGTGAAGCTTTTATTGGCTATATTGGACCTTTTGGATATTATTGATGAAAGTGAAGAGCCTCTAAGTAAAAATATTCATGTTAAGGTGAAGAAAAAGTATAAGTATTGTGAAAGGAAGACTTTTCGCATGATTGCAATAAATTTAAATGATACCAATTTTTCACATATAATTACTTGTAATGGATTAGCGGAAGCATGGAAGACTCTTTGTAACATCTATGAAAGTAAAAACCTTACTAATATTCTCTGGATAAGAAAAAAGTTCTTAATAATAAAGATGGAAGAAAGAAATGACCTCATAGCTCATGTCAACAAGGTAAAAGCACTTACAAATCAATTAACAGTTGTTGACAAGTCAATTAATGATAAGGATATTGTGTTGACATTACTCATGAGCCTTTTGGAGTCATACAACTACTTCATTGTGGCATTAGAGTTTATCAACATAAAGGAGCTTACTATAAATTATATCACAATAAGATTAGTCTATGAAGTGACCAAGTGGAAAAAAAAGACCTTCAAAGTAATGATTTGGCTCTATTCTCAAGACAAGACAAAGGTGGTTATTTTCACCAATGTGATAATTTTTAAAAATAATATAAAAATTACTATATTTTTAAAAAATCATGTTACTTTGTAAAAAATTGCTATAAAGTCAAAAATAAAAATAAAAAAATAGGAAGAATCCAAACAATGCTAATAAAAATTTTGGTGGAAATGATTATACTTTCATAGCAAATAAAGGAGTCTCCATGGCTACCTATATAAGTGGATTATAGATTTGGGTGCTACTAAGCACATAATACCATACAAGTATTTATTTGACACTTGTGAAGTAATTTCAACAACAAGTATTTGGTTGAGAGATAATAGCATGGTACAAGCCATTAGAATTGACTCTATTGTAGTCGAAATTGCAGTAAAGGACCAAATAAAAATGATCAAATTGAAGAAAGACTTACATGAGCCAAAGATAAAGAAAAAAATTTTTTAGTGACCAAATTTATATCATATAGTTATAAAGTTCAATTTGACATGAATGGATGGATAATATGTTGCCAAAGACTTAAGAGATGGCAATTTCTACTTCATCAATTGTAAGAAGGTGAATGGAGTTGAAGTGGTGGCATTTGCTAAGTTTCTACAAAATTAAAATAAATTTGGAATTTGGCATCAATAACTTGGTCATTTGAATGTCAAAATCATGAAGGAGCTCTAATTCATATTAAGTAGCTTAGATATTAGTCAATTCAACCACAATGCCATAATACTTACTTTTGAAGGTTGTATCTAAAACAAACAACAAAAGGCTTTATTTTAAAGAAGAATTACAATATATGCTAGCAAATTATTAAAGATTTTACATTTTGATATTTGTGGATCAATGAAGATGCCATTGATTGGAAGAGCAAGGTACTTTGTCACATTTATTGAAGATTTTTTTAGAAAAAGTGTAGATTTACATCCTTAAAGCTAAAATTAAATATTTTTCAAAGATTAAAGAATTTAAGATACTTGTGGAGAAGCAATGTGAATGTAAGATCAAATTATTGCATACAAACGATGGAAGTGAGTATATATTGAAGCATTTTGATGAATTTTTGAAGAATCAAGGCATTGTAAGATAAACCTCTATTCTTTACATTTTACAATAAAATGGAGTTGCTGAAAGAACAAATTACATTACTATGGAGATGCCAAAGAGTATGCTTCATGTACAAAACCTTGAATATGAATATTAGATGGAAGCCATGGTTACTATAATGTATACAAAAAATAAGTGCCCTACAAATCCATTTAAATGAATGATTCCAAAAAAAACTTAGAATAGTAAGAAATCTTATATTTGACACATGAGGATTTTTAGATTTATTACTTATTCAAAGATATTCAATTGTATGAGGTTCAAACTTGATGCAAAAGGTACAAAATATGTGTTTGTTGGATATTGTGAAGGTACTAGGACATACATGCTTATGTATTTAGAAACCAATGAGATCATCAAGAGTCATGATGTAGAGTTTTTGGAGCATAAGAATACTTGTAAGCACTTGGAAATATGTCCAAGTGGGAATAATGGTGTGTTTGTTGACATATCTTCAAATCCAATAAAGAAAGAAGAAGAAGATGATGACAATGAAGATGGAAGAAATACAAATTAAGATGAAGAGTCAAAGAAGGTAGACCAAAGTGTATCTACAATTACCAAAACTAACATTAAAGACAATTGAAATATTATAGATGATGATGATGAGAAGTATCAACTAATAAATGTGAAGGGACAAGCTTTAAAAAGAAAAGGTTACAAGAGACCTTAGACTATAAGGAGATGAATTTTTATCAAGTAAAAAGAGATATCCTTTAAAAGATAAAAAATAGCTCGGTGAATATTAGAAGAACCACATCTTTCCTCAAATAAGTGAAAAACATGCCAATGTTGTAATTCTTGATGATCCATTAAAATTGTATGATACAATGAAGTCTATGGATGCTAAGAAATAGGAGAATGCTATGAAAGAAGAATACAAATCACTCATGAACAATAGAACATGAGAAATGACTCAACTTCCATCAAATCAATCTTTAATTGGCTGTAAGAATGTGTTTAGAACTAACAAAGATGTATTAGATAATATTATAAGATACAAAGTTAAAATAATTGTGAAAGACTACTTATAAGTTGTTGGTGTTGATTTCAATGAGACATTTGCTCTCATGGCCAAATTCAATATTATTAAAACCATTGTGGCAATTAGAGCAAAAATAGACTTTGAAATGAATCAGATGGATGTAAAAATAATTTTTTTAAATGGAAGGTTAGAAGAGGATATTTATATTGATCAATCTCAAGGATTTATTGAATAAGGTAAACCATATCATATTTGTAAATTGAAGAAATCCTTGTATGGATTCAAGCAATTATCAAGGACATAGTATCAACTTATTGATACATTTTTTATGAATAAAGGATTTGAAAAAAGTAAGGCTGATCATTCCGTATATGTAATGCAATGAGATAAATTTATATTAATTGAAAATTTCTTTTTTGATGATTTTATTATCTTAACTAATATCTTAAAGATGATAAATTGGTTGAAAGCAAAGCTAGAAAAAAAAAAAAAAAAAGATGAGATGAGTGATTTGGAAGAGCTTTAGTATTGTTTAGGAGTGGAGTTTATAAGAAATCGTACTAAAAAGACCATTATAATAAAGCCAAAGCTAGTATATTGAAGAAATATTGAAATAATTCAACATAGAGGAATATAAGCCTATTGGTATACCTTTAGAAACCAATTTGAAGTTGATAAAGCTCACAAATAAAGAGTTTGCTAAAATTGAAGGTCAAATGTAAGATATCCTATACAAAACAATAATATGCTTACTTATATATGCAATGGTTGGTATAAAGGTGGATCTTGCTTATATAGTAGGTGTTGTGAGCCATGACATGTCAAAAACTAGATCAATCCATTGGGCAACTATGAATAGGATCCTAAAGTACTTAAAAGATACTTTGTATTTGAAATTATGGCTTGGAGGTAATAACATTATAATGCATGGTTATTGTAATCCAAATTGAGCTGGAGATGCAACTGATAGAAAGTTAATAATAGAATATATTTTTTTTTATTTGAGTAGAAGCTATTTTATAGAATTGTAAGAAACAACCAACAATTGCAAGATCAACAATAGAGGCAAAGTACATGATAATAAGCCATGATATAATAGAGGTAATATGACTAGGACAACTTTTAAAAGACAAAGGAATAATGCAAATAAAAGAAACTTCAATGGAGTGTGACAATTAAAGATGTCTTACATTTATAAAAAATCCAAAACATCATTTAAGGACCAAAAACATTAACATTCAACATCACTTCATAAGATAGAAGATTGAAATGAGAGTGATTAATATAAAATATTATGGAATAAAAGACATGTTTGTTGATTTATTGATGAAGGCATTAGAATTGAAAGTCCTTGCTAATTCTATGTGTTGTGAATTCAAAGTTCCTTTCTTCAATAATATCAATAAAAATTTATTTTAATAATACCTAAATATACATAATTATGTTATATTTTTGTAAACTATTTATAATCAAAACATTAAAATTTAACAATATTCTTTAACAAATCAAATGCATGCATGCAACAATTAAAAATAAAAATTGTAATAAAAAAAAGACTTTAAAAGAAGATGATAGAGTTTGTTTAGGAATCACTCTATAAACACCTTATCTCTATAATGTTACAAAGTTTTCAACTCAAGCTTCCATCTATTAAAATCAAAATACTATATCGACTTTTAGAACACAATAATGTACAAACAATTACTCATATTGTTTCAAATGTAAGGATTACATATAATTTTGAAAATAGAATCTTTCATTACTATTATACATTCATATGGTTTGTTTTTATATGGGATTGAAGTACAATTTTATGCTATTTGTTGAAAGAGTAAAGTACTATAATTTTTTTTTAAAAAATTACCTAATCTTTGAAGTACAAGATTTTGCATGTATTGTCAAAGTTAAATCTCCAATTAATTAAAAATTCAAAAATAAATAATTAGATGAAATTTAAGACTTCTATTTAATGGAATTATTAATGGAATTTAAGACTTCTATTTAAGACTTCTATTTAATGGAATAACACCTTGATATATTAATTATCATATGATCTATTATTTTATCATTATTTTACACTATAAAAACTCTAATTTTTAATTGTCTAAGAAGTTTTTAAAATATTGACAACTAATATGTCTAATATTTTATAATTTAAGGCAAGCCAAGTTAAGACAATAAATTATCTTAATTTGTGCTTGTCAAAAAAGAAAAAAGAAATGCATCAATTAGACATTTTAAACATAGTATTGAAGAAATGTTTCAAAATGATCCAATTATTTCACCTTTTTATTATTATCATAGCTAATATAAATGAAGGTACAAGAGTATTTGAAAGAACCTCGAGGAAACTTTGTTACATTAATAATAATTTGTGCAAATGTTCATGAATCCAGCTTCAACATTGTTGCAGACCAATCTTTAACAATCATGAACCTGAAAGTTTAACTGTCGTAATGGAAAAGATTTGCAATGTAATCAAGCTTGCATATTAACATAAACACAATCTTAAGCAACAAGAATAAGTCGATCGATCAGAAAATGCTCTTGTTGTAGTCTAGAAAGGGAGGAAGTGTGTGGGATGCTGCAAGCAAGCTGATGGGGCGAGGCAAGTATCTCATATCCATGGAACGATGAATTAGCACGTCGTCCTTCGGCAACTCTGCGCTTTACTTCATGTCTAAATTTGTTGTGCAGGTTTTAACATGAGCACCAAACGACATGAGGAGGTACAGAACACCTTAGGGGATGACCATCCTGACCCAAACTGCGTCTACAGATGACGACGGCTCTCACTTCGATCAAGCTCGCACTCCTAGATCTGCACACAAACTCCAAAACCAGCGATGTCGACATATAAAGTCGTCCCGCTTGCTGAACAATTTCACAATACCGTTCCAGAAATTAGCACTGTCACACCCGGGTTTTCGAAGGAAGGATGCATTGAAGCTCCGGAGCCTAGAGATTGTATCAACACGCCAAGTATAAGGTCGAGGCTTGAAGCTTTCATACGAGGTATTCCAAGTCCATTAGAGTACAGATTGAGAATTAGTATACAGTTCCGGAAGCTACAAGCAGAGCCCCAACAAGCAGGCTGCGAGAGAGAGACATCAACAGATCCTGCTCAAGGATTTCGTCTGTCGATCCTAGACCAAACTAGTGACTGCTCTAAGCTGCCCTTTTTTTTTCCCCTCTTTTTTTTATCCCCCCCCCCTTTTTTTTCTTTTTTTTTTATCACTTAAGGAGATTACAAAGCAATCACACAATCTGTGGGTGCCGAGTTTGCAGAAATGAAGCCCATCGCACGTCAGTCTGCATGGATGGATATGTCAGCAACCTTACGACAACCTCCAACCCGGCCTCACGCCTGCGAACCTCAGGAACAAAGGTTTAGTTAACTGCTTGGCGGCATACTAGTGTGCTGAGTGGGCGGCATTTGCGTTGTCTGCTGCGGCCACATCTGTTGCATTGGTGCTTGCTGTTGCATGTACTGCATGGGCGGTCGCTGCGGCTGCTGCTGCTGCGGATGGTACATGGCTGTTGGGTCCATGGCCATGGCCGGCCTTGCGCCAAACATCTGATTGCCCATCATGGCAGGCGAGACCATCGCGGGTTGAGGAACTGGACCTTGCGGCGTCGGCACATAATACACCCCTTCGTAGCTGACAGGACTACCCACAGGCATGGTGCCCCGAGGAACGCCGATACCGTCTTCCTTGTTGAGTTCGTCACGCGGGACGATATCCACCAAGAAGTCGAAGATATCTGTGCGAGTAATGGCGGCTGCAATGTCGTTCTTCTGTAACGTGCGCCGCTTATTCTCTTCAGTGTGTATCCACGATCGCAGGGTCAACTCTAGGATGAACATCTCGCAGGCCTTCGCAAACAGAACTGGTGCTTCTGCAGAAATCATCCGCACGTCTTCGTCTGCTTTCATGATCTTCTTGATGCGCGCTAGCGGCAGCTGATGGTTCTTGAAGTCGTTCGCCTGCCAACCGATCAGTATTAGGCTAATATTTAGAAAGACGCTGACGCTCATGTGCAAAATTTAAATCAAGATTCTTCAATTTAATCCAGGCATCAACCCTGAAGCTCCTTAGGACTGTAATACACGGAACAATTGCCTGGATCACATCTCATCTAACAGATTCTATGACAGACAAAAGACTCCCCAGCAAGCTCGACTACCAATACATGCCCAGATTCATCATAAGGTCAGTTTTCTGATAACTTAAAAAAAGCTTTGGCAAGTTTTCCAAACCTAGATTACATCAACTATACATTTCAAGGATCCTGGCTGTTTAATACTTACTCTACGACTATTAAAACTGCCAATGTAACGAAAAGACGTTGGTTTCAACCGATAATCTAATATATATATATATATATATATATATATGTATGTATATATATGTATATATATATATATATATATATCTATTACAAGAACCAAAAAAAAAAAAACAAAACAAAACAAAACAAACAAACAAACAAACAAAAAACACACGCACACACACACTAAACGAAAAATAAATAGATAAATACTGGAGTACAGACCTGTTCAATTTCACTCATCTGGTTAGCCCAGAACATCTGCAGCTGCTGTTGGTGGTGCTGCTGAAGGTGCTGGTAACTAAGCTGAACCTGCTGCTGTTGAGCTAAGGCAGCCGGATAAGCTGCAGGAGATTGCCCTTGCATCTGACCTCCTTGAGATGGTGAAGTATCGGGGCCTCCTACTGTCTGAGAGCCCTGGTATGGTTGTTGAGTGCCCATGTTCTGTGAGTACTGCATCTGAGGTTGCTGCTGGGCCATCATATTGTTCACTGTCTGTTGCTGCTGTTGCTGCTGCACATCTTGTTGCTGTTGAGCTTGCTGCTGAGCAAGTTGTGAACGGTTCTCCATGTTTGGGACACGTCAGGGAAATATCGTTACATTTGATTCATCTGCTACAAAAAGTAAAGTAAATTCCCGTGAAGCGCGAGGGGAAGACTTCTACAATCTGCACCGAAGTTCTATTATTTTATTTTCTAAAATGCGGAACTCGTCAACGGCGCAGGGTTAGAGTGTTAGGATAACTTAATGCTACGATCTTGCAGTCTTTGTCATCCTACAAAATTAGTGGTGACTTATTCCCAGGCCTATTACATAAAAGATTCGGAGCAACGATCAAGAATACAGTCGCTATTACTGTGGTACTATAACCGTACTAAACTAAGATTTTACGTTAGATTCAATTGTGTCGACAGATTGGGTGAGGATGGCAGCAGTTATAGCCGCAATGAAGGATCGAGAATCCAGTTCTAGCACAGCAATTGGCAAGCCCTCAAGACTGGTCAAAGCTCTGACGTTCACCAAGTTGTATTTCTCAAAGGTAGATAACTGCAGAATTTATTGCGGACCTGTGTTAGTTACTAGATCACTGAATAGGTTAAAGCTAACCAGACTACACTCTCATGCAGCTTGTATTCTCGACAAAAAAAATTAGTTTTATTTTATTATTCACTTAAGCGTGTACTTAACTTCTCTTTATTGTCAGGGCACGGTGCTTTCAAGAGCTCGGAATTCTTCAGAACGCCCTTCTTAGATTCCTCGACCCATTCAACGCTAGACGATTCCTACAACACCAGCTAATCTTTCAACTGCAGCGCCTTCGAAGGCAACGGCATGCGTCTACACTGCTACATCGGCACCATAACAAACAGTTAACGAACTTGCCCCAAATAGTCGGTAAAGCTCCTAGACTACAGCTCACCCCGCCCGTCTCTGACTTTTATCACATCCTCCATCACGTTCCTATTGAACTAGACTCTCAAACCCACATCCTCCCAACAACGTGCTCGAAAGAATCTGCACCGACGAGGAAAATCCTCAACACAGACACACACTCAACCCCCCCAAGACTCCACCCACCTGCAACCACATTCTAGTAGGGCAACTTCGACTGAAACCAACCCTCCCTCCCCTTCCTTCCTACATTCCTCAACCCACCTCACAAGCTCCAACCTCACAACACCCGCGTGATTATTGCACTAATCTCTGAGCACATGACATGAGAATTCGACATGGAACCCGCGAATGGAGCATCTCCGGGTGCCGATTCTTTCCCATCGGATTGCGCGAGGAACAGCACGGTGATAGGGACGGGAGGTGGGGAGGAGGGAGGGAGGGAGGGAGTGAAGGAGGATCCCGTCACCGAGACTCTCGATCCGCACAGCAAACTGACCGACGAGGCAAGACTGGATGGGGGATGTGCAACAAAGGTCCGCTTCCGAAAACACGAGGCCCCAGGATAAGACTCTTATCTCCGCCCCGCCCCGTCCCCATGTTCGCCTCCGGTCGTTCCCGGCTGACGATTGGCCAATCAGATCGCGCCACCATGGTATAACTCCCCCAACGAGCCTGGCCTTGAGTCTGCACCGCGCTTTTTCTGTTTCTCGCCGTGAAGGGTGATGACTTGCTGCTCGCTGCCGGGGGGCGGGGGGATCTATGACCGATAACCCGAAGAAAACCCTTCCGGGTAACTGCGTCTTTGACTAGTGAAAGCCCTCGTCTTTCTAGTGGCCCCACTTGAGGCGACCGATTGTGATCGGGGTCATCGATGGATAGACCAGTGGGTTGGAGTGCGCGAGCTTGGTGGGCGTCGACTGAGTGCATTTATTGTAGTGATTAGAATTAAGCTTCTTCCTGGACGAACTTGGGGTGGATTCTGGGTTGCGTTAGGAGGAAGCCATCTCAGAGTTGCAGGTTTTGTTGTCTCTTTTAGTTCTACTGGCGAGGGCCGACAGTTTCACGATCCTGCCAAGTTCGACAAATAAAGGGGTAGAGGATCTTGGGGTGGAAGGAGTGACATCACTATTACACTGGGAACTATACCCCAGCTTAAGAGCCATATATATATATATATATATATATATGTGCGTGTGCCTGTGTGTACGTATACATATGGGCTCTTCGTGGGTGACTGCATTCATTCAAAGCATATATTTGTGTCCTCTGCGGTAACGTGTCACAAAAGCCGAGTTACGGCGTGAATTTGTCTGAAACGGATGAAGTACGAAAATCCGACAAGGGAGCGTGCTTCATTGATGACGTATATTCCCAAAGAGCAATACTTCGTAGAAAGTCCTTGATGAGAATTGACTGCCTCATTCTGCGACATGGGCTGGGAACCCGCTTTAAGCCACAGATCGTTGGATCTTCCTTTAGAGATCCGCTTCAACATGTAGAGATGGCCACGGAGCCTGTCCAATATCTTCTTACACAATGTCCCATGTATGAATTCACGAAAGGAAGGACAATTCTATGGTCAAATTATTTTACTTCGTAATCGATTGGTCATGCACTCCCTAGTCATTGATCTAGATTGAATTATGAGACCCAATCCAAAGCGAATAAGGCCCAATTCATGTTTAGATTTCACATTGTGGTCCACGTTTCCATGAGCCAGACTTTCATTTCAGGTCTGCATATTCGAAACAAAGTAATCATTATAAGCACGGAGGCATTTTATAATGTGCAGATATATTGAGGGTGCTGTAATTGCATTGTCAAAGAACTCTGGAATGTCATGTTTTTTTCTCAATGTTGCTGACTGTTAGTTGTGAAAATTGTCAAAGGCGCAGTCAAAGTGAAAAAACAGTTTCTATATTCAGTGGATTGAAGAAAAAGAAGATGATCTCCGCAGTCTCAATTCAAAACCTACTACTGGGCAGGTGAGTGGGTCTGTTACCCCCTGGTGTCTTGTGGCAGTGCAGCACCGAGTAAGACGACCCACAAGTGAAAAGACTTGAACTTCTTCTCAATCTGGTCGGGAGTGGATGCAAACCAGTACCCGGAGAACAACAAATTCGGAAGGAGCATGCCAGAAAACTTGTGGCCCCACGTCCACATTGTCGACCTAAAGCTTGGTTTGACTTAGAGCTTGTATATCAGTTGGAAAGGGGAGTGGGTGAGGACTGGTCATGCAAGTGTTACACTGGTTGATAAGGTCAAATGTTGCAAACTTCAGAGAACAAGACCCCTTCATGACCTCTGCAATCATTTCACAATATCATACTGATCATCCGCAGAAACAAAACAAAAAAACAACAGTAGAAAGAAAGAAAGAAAGAAAGAAAGAAAGAAAAAAAAAAAAAAAAAAAAAAAAAACATTGGTCTGCAGTTGGGAGGTCCGCATATCTTTTCCTAGTAAGGCTAGGAAAAGATTAAGGAGACGAGTGTGTGAGTGCAACAAACAGGAGAAAGTTGGTTTTGGTGCAGTGTTTTTAGGGTTGGATTGGGGTTCATAAAATGGGAACAAGTTTGTAAAGAACAATAAGTCAAGATAAGGATATTCTTGAAAGCACATTTTTACCTTTAACAATTAAAGTTATAGATATATAATTGAATGTAAGGAAAGGACAAAATGTGATGAAATCTTTTAAAGAGTATTATTAGATAAGCAACTTGCATCCAACTTAACATATTTTTAGTGAGCAATAGTTTGTAGGTCTCTCTTGTATATTTATTAAATATAATAAGAACCAAATTTTGTATAGGTGTCAAAGACATGAATCTCAAAAAATTAAAATATCAATACACTCTTATATCACTTGAAAAGATTAAAAAGTTATTCAAAGATGATACAATATTAAACTAAAATGACTACTACCAAAGATAAGAAGACTTGGAAAGTCTTGAGACAAGATTAAAGACTAAAGAAGTATTGACAAGAGTGAAGAAGGCTTCATTTTTGCCTCCATATATACTCTTAACTAGGAGCTACGTAGTAATGTTCTATAGGACCTTCTAAACCTGTTGACTTTGTAAGACAAATATCTTAAATTGCAAGGCAAGTTTTTTATATATGCACTACATAGTTAGCTTGTTCTACAAGCTACTAATATATGTTTAACTTATTGACTAAGTTTCTAAGCGATAAATCAACTACAAACACATGTAAAGTCAAAATAATATCTATGAAGCTTCTAGGAAGCATCTCTAATAAATATTATAAAATAAATCTATTTTTATCTATTTTTATTTTTTCATATAAGAAAATATTAGAACATATATATATCCATGACATTATCATTTTTTTTAAGGATGAATCCTATGAAAAGAGGTTATCATATGTTGAAAAAATCCAAGTTGTGACAAATTATGCTTATCACATATTCTAATCTTTGTTCTCTTCAAAGATGGTTGATAGGTCCTCTCATCCATTGATAATGTCTCATACCAAAGGGAGAAGACTACCATGTTATTTGATCATTGTTAAGGCCTTTATAACTTCCTTCAAATAAAATATTTGAAATACCATTAGAAGTCATTCCTACTTTTAATAAAATCACCAAATATTGGAAATATCTTCTAAGATCATAATATCAAATATGTTGTATCTTGCCATGTATTCAAAAAGTGACATGTTGTTCTTGAAGATCTTCATCTTGATTACATTCTCTTGAAGGTTGTAATAATTGCAATGTCTCATTTGATAAGTCAATAAGTGATAGTTCTTGAATTAAATCTATTGGTTATTGGTTCTTCATCTTCTTAGTATTACAAATATATAAAAGCTACAAACAATGATAGAAGGTAGAATTCTATCTTCCTTAAATCTTATTTCTTCTATAATAAAAATTTTCTATTCTTCATCTTTAATTTGATGGATATTGTCAATAAAAAATCTCAACTTTCTTTGTTACATTTATAAGATTTTTTACTGGCTTCCATGTATATTTTCTAATATCATATTTTTACCAATAAACAAGACATTATAATCTATTTTAGCATTATTAAAGTAGAGAGAATTTGTCTTAAGGAAGCACTAGATTCTTAGTTGTCACTAATTACTCAACCAAGTCTCAAGATAAAAAAAATACCAAGTTTATATATAAAATTGTCCCTATAGGAAAAATTATGTTAATACATGAGTCTTAAGTACCAAAGTTCATCAAAAATGTGATAAAAATATTATAAAACCTTGTATATCCTTAAGATGATTTTTTTTTTTGAATTTTAACAGCTTATATCTTATGATTGGATTTTTTAAATAAACCAAAATTTTACACGGAATATTGATATACTTTTAACAACTACCATAACAAATTTCAACTGTAAATTCATTATAGATCTTGTGATATTGTCAAAACCCTAACAATAGCTTCAAATCCTTCTTTATATATATTTGTATGTAATTTTCTTCATATTTCACAAATTAAGTACTCAAATATCATAAAATTTTGATATATATCTTTTTAACCTAATAACACATATTTTTAGAAGTTTTGAGCCAAAAATTCATTTGAAAAGTTAAGATATGGTTCCAACTATTACTATCAACAAAACAACTCATTTATTGCCTTTGAATTACATGTGCTATGTTCAATGCTTTATAACTTCTTCACAAAAACTTCAAATACAAAAATTCTTTCATAAAAGATGTAGATCTTAAAATCATCCTTATAAATACACCTCTTGTTATCCAAAATCTGTCATAAAACTCCTTGTATCTTCAAAAGAGAAATAAAATGTCTTAAAAAGATACATTAACTTCAAACGGCTATAACTACATCTCTCTAACTCCAAATCCTCTAAAATTTGTATACAAATTGTACCCAAAATTCTAAACATTAGAATCTTTGCTTTTGATTCTTAAATGCCTCTTTTGAAGTTGCCAAAATCCTTATTATGGTCACAAATAGCTTGCTGAATATCTATTAGATATGGCCTTCAACCAATGGAGATGAAGATCTTTACCTTTAGGCTTCATCCATCCATACCTTGCTTTCATTCCTCCAAGTAAGTTTTTTAGAGATTTGAACCTTCATCTTTGAGTCCCAATCTTCTCCTTAAATTTTTTACTAAATATCTAAATCTTATATAATTTAAATACTATAATCAACAAAGGTAAATCTCAAAATAAATTTTCTTATATCAATTCACTTTAAATTAACCTACTAATCACTTTAATATACATCAACACTTATAAATATATTATATATTTTAGTTAATTTTTACATAGTATAAATAATTATAATATGACAGTGATCTCTTAAATCTAAAACTTCTTCTATGTCAAACTCTTAATTATTATCCACTTCTATAGGAAGAGGTGGCATTTTCCTTCTTTTCGAGATATTCATTGTCTTGTATTACTC